AGATTCTATTTTTGACCACACGTTTTCTTTATTTTGTACATCAGGAAGGGGGGCTAGGGAAGGGTAAGTGGAAGGAGGTGAGGGAGGAATGGGGTATGAGCCCCCGATGGGGAGGACTGGGCTGGCTCTGTGGGCTTCTGGGGGTGGAAGCTCTCCTGCAGCCCCCCAGTTGCCCCCTCTCCCCAGATGGCAGCCTGCAGCAAGTGCAGCCGGTCTGATGGCCAAGTGCTGTGATGTGCCCAGTGTGGGTACTCCGGGCAATCCAAGCCAGGACTGCTTTGCAAGCGGGGCACCCCTGAGAACTGTCTGTCCGGGGTGGGGGTCGGGTCCCTTTAAGCACAGCCTTCGGCTAGCCTGAGGCAGCAGCTCCACGCTCTAAGTCCTCATCTGATGCCCTGCCGGCATTGCTTCCGGCCATCCTTAACCCCGGTTCAGGGTCCACTTAATGTGGACATGCTAGTTCGAATTAGCAAAACGCTAATTCGAACTAGTTTTTTAGTCTGGATCCGTTAGTTCGAATTAGCTTAGTTCAAATTAACTAATTCGAACTAAGTTAGTTTGAATTAGCGCTGTAGCGTAGACATACCCTATGATATTCTCCATCTTATTCTCTATCCTGGTACTGACATTAGACTTACCGGTCTGTAATTGCCAGGATCACCTCCAAAGCCCTTTTTTAATATTGACGTTATATTAGCTATCTTCCAGTCGTTGGGTACAGAAGCTGATTTAAAGGATAGGTTCTTCTTCGAGTGGTCCCCGTGGGTGATCCACTGTTGGTGTCAGGCTCGTCCCGGCACTGCAGGTGAAAGATTTTTCCTAGCCATAGTCAGCTGGACAGCGCATGCGCGGTAAGTGCCATGCGCCGTTCGCGCCCTTTTCGTCTCGCGTGGTCCGGCGCCTGCCAGTTCCTCTCAACCATCCTCAGTTGCAGGCGGAGCACAACGTCTCTCTGTAGAAATGATCTATTACCTGTATAAAATAGTTAGATTAGTCATAGTTTAGTGTTCATACTTAGTGTAGTTGTTAGAACGTTATTGTTATTTAAAAAAAAAATTCTTTCAGTTATTTAGTTAGAACTTGTTCGTTAGCTTACAGAGTTAGATTCACACACAATGCCTGGTTCCCCAGGTTTTAAAAAATGCTCAGCATGTCAAGAGGCCATGCCCACATCCGACGGCCATGCCGCATGCATCCGCTGCCTTGGCGAAACACATGTCCCGCAAAAGTGCATTCACTGCACAAAATTAATGGCCAGGGCCCGAAGAGATAGGGAGACGTGCCTAAAAATGATCTCTTGATAAGGCACTACAATGAACAACTCCCTCTCCGTGACTGTCTTCTGAACCTACTAGGTCGCATAAGCAGGCAGCTTCTCCTCCGGTGTCTACAGCTGCCAAGAAGGTCAGGGCGTCCCCTGTGAGATCTCTCCCATCTGTTTCTGAGACTCGAATCAGCAAGGAGAATAAGCCCGGGACCTCTGGTATTCTCCAAAGGCCGGTGAAAACCACAGCTCTGGTACCGAAGCCCCCGGTGCTGAAGCACCCGGCACCGAGGTCACCGACACCGAGATCGCCGGCACCGAGATCACTGGCACCGTCGCTATCACCGGTGCACAGGGGTGCTGAGGAACTCTCTCCAGCACCGTAATCTCCAACACCGTCAGTAGCATCGCCTCCTCTGACGCCCGGACATTTGCCGAGTCCCTCTGCTTCGCTTCCACCCACTCTGCTCGATTCAGCACCACGGACAGTCAGTCCATGGTCTTCAAAGCCTGCTTCTGCACCGACCACCTCGACGGACTCTACGGTGAGGTGCATTTCGACACCATCCATAGTGAAGTGCACCACGGCGCCTTACGCGGTTCCACGCACTCCGGCACCTACCAGGGCATCGTGCTTCTCTGAACCTGGCACAGCACTGCATATTTCAGAACCACTGCAGGCGCACAAAACCTCGGCACTGTGAGCTGTGCAGCACACCTCGGCGCCGACCACAGTGCAGCGCACCTCAGCACCGACCATGGTGCAGCACACCTCGGCACCATCCAAGGGAGAAGCTTCCAGACAATGATCGTCGGCACCACATGTCTCCTCAGTGCCCACGAAGGCAGCCCAGCAATCTATGGCACGGCACATATTGGTCTCGCCTTCACCTACCTTCTCCCCAGCACCGTCTCCATCTCCACCCAGCTGTCTATTGCCAGTTAGTTGACGATATTACAGCCCTCCGAGACACACAACCTCTCCAGCCACGGACGCAAGGCGATACCATTCAGGATACTGGGACAAACGATCCCGATATCCATCAAGGAGATCTTATTACGGGCCTTATTCACCGAATAGGTTCCCGTATTCACCTTGTCACCATCACCACAGTAGCACGACATCCTCGTGCCATTCCTCGCCTGCTAGATCCTGACATGATTGCGGCTATCATCACAGACCTCATTACTACTCGAGGCACTCTCATGCGTCATATGCATATTTGCACTCATCTTGCGCTTGTCATTCACCTCAAAGTGTAACTCCCCAGACTCCATCCCATCCAGCGGATCAGCCTCCAATGCCATCTGAGCCGACCCGGGACACAAAAACTCAAGTCTTGGAACCTGAGGAAGGGCAACTGTCTGACCCGGAGGAGCTGGAGCCATAAACATCGCCAACCGACCAATCAT